TAAATTTATTTGAGTATAAATATGTAAAAGTTGCAGAGTAAGATTTTAAGGAAAAAGTATCAGAGCAGGTTTGATTGAGAACTTGATGAATAAGAGCCAAGGAAAAGAAGAAGTTATAGTACTGCTGGATTGTCCCCCTCCTAAACCACCACCATAGAGTGCGTGAGAGTCTACAGTTTGGAAGCAACATTTTAATTTTACTGTTTGCTTACTATTTATTCTTCTTGATCAGACTGTTTATTTTTCTGTTGGTTATTACTTTTATTGTTGTAAGACTCTTGCATTAGGATTGAGTGATGAGATGTCTGCTTTAACCGTCGTTGGCTCATTTATGCCTATTATAGGATCAGCGAGTCATATTTCTTTTTTGAAGGTGGTTGACTGTAAGTCTTGTTCGAGAGCCGGCGGTTGCATGTGGTTCTTTTGTCGTTTTACCCCTATTTTAATGTTGTGATATCAATTTAAGCTCCCTTCTTAAAAAAACGCAAAAGTGTCAATCGTGCACACATGGAAGAAGAGATATAGACACAAAAATAACTAATTAATAGAAAACAATTCACATTCTTTTTAGAGTATAACAAATTTTCAATTGTTTTCTATTCACAATGTCAAGTACACCGTCTAGACCTTGATATTGTGTTTGACATTGTGTATAAAAAGTAACCAAAATTTATTACACCGTGGAAAAATGTGAGAGACTTTCTACTAATTATTTATTTTTGTGTTTATATCTCTCCTGCCACGTGCGTACCGTTAATCTTCTGACTTGCTTCTGTTAGTTGTCTCAACTAAAAGTTTTTATTTACACTAAAAAATAATATCACTCTTAAATGACCACTTAATTACTTATCAAAATTAAATATAATACTACCTATAATATTACAATCAACATCCAACGACCTAATTATATCGTATACCCATCAAATTGGATATCAAAATATACTCTAATAATCATACTTATATATTGTCTAACCGGTTGTGTCATTTTTGAATGAAAAACTTAAGTTGGAACAGAGCTAGTATTATATTGAATCTCAATTTCAAAAAGTAATGACATTTATATATTGGAAATATGTGATTAACTAGTATTCCACCCGTGCATTGCACGCAGGGACGGATCCAAGATTTTAAGTCAAGGGGGGCGAAAATTTTCGTTAGTGTAGGAGAAAAAAAAATTCACTAATGTAGCGGGGCGAATTTTTTTGCTAGTGTAGCGGGTGAAATTTTTCACTGGTGTAAGGCTCTGCGGCTATTTTAATTAAACAAATTTCATTAATACATGCATGACGACATTTAATTTATATATTACATTTTAATTTTAGCAAATCAAAGGAAAATGATATAAAAATAAAAAGGGATATATAAAATTTTATTTAAATATAAAGAGTTTATAAGGTACACATTCACCAATACTTTTAAAATAACTTCAACATTGTTGAACTACATGAGTCTTATAGAAATAAAGAATTGATTTTTGAATTACAATTTTTGTCTACCATGGAGGGTGTATGATATTTTTATTTTTAGAATAATATTATATTGCTAATTCCTATATATAGTGCATATTATATTTGTATTAATGCTAAAATAATTAAAGTTTATTATCTATGGAATAAAGCCTTTTTAGAACGTATGAAGTAAATGAATTGTGTAATTTAATGTCAATAAACATTTATAATTTGGATTCACTTCACATGATCTAAAAACTTTGTAGCTAGAGTGTCTGGTATTTAATATCGTTTGATATATATTTTTCAAAATTGTTTACTAGTTATCTAATAAATATAATTAACAAAACCAATTGTTTTTATATAATAAGTATCCTAAATCTTAAATAATGAGTTGTTCTATTGTTTATTTAAGTTATGTAAATGATTTTAGATGTTCCTTCTTTTAAATCTTCAATTAAGTATTACATTATGTAAGACTATATATTAATTTTAAAAACTAAAAGTTAAGGGCGGCAATGTTCAAAACAAGTTAAGGGGGGCGAATCTAATTAAAGTATCAAAATTTTACAAAAACATTACATATATAGTAGAAAATTTTGAAAATCCAAGGGGGGCGGTCGCACCCCTGCGCCCCCCTTAAATCCATCCCTGGTTGCACGGGATGTAATATGCATTTATTTTAAAGTATTTACAAATCTTATCATAACTTATCGCATGAATGAGGAAATTCGTAAATAAATAATGATAAACATTAGAATTTAATTAAGCACAAATTTACAAATTGTTGAAGACTTTGTGTACAACATTTTCTTTTTAATTTTTCATTTTTCTTCGTCGAATATCCCAAACTTTAAATCAAACAGATTTATCACCCTCGAATCCGCAACATACAACTGTGCACATTATCAATCCTATCATAATATATGAATGTATACACAAATTTAAAGATCAAATACACATATATTTCTCTTATTATTAACATCTATCTAAGTTAGTGCGTGAATGGCAGAAAGTATAAAAAATGTAAATTCTCTTAGGTATATTCTTTAGAAAAAGAATAAGATATCTACCACCAACAATCAGCCAAGATACTCAACATAGTTACATGCTCAAAAGATTAAAGTTTTCATTGTTATGAAAAAGAAAGATAACTTGGGATATTGCTAGGATAGTGAGATTTTAATAAGTAAATCTGAATTTGGTCTTCTAGCTAAACCTTCAACTATTTTGCTTCATTATCTCATAAAATGGTTCCTTATGTAATACATTTTGGAGATGCTAGCCAAAAATACATCATCTTGTAAAATTAAAAAACCTTCAACTAATTTTTAGTTCATTATCTCAGAGCCAAATAGTTTACTGTATAAGTAAAAAGTACATCATCTTTTCCCAGCATAGTCATTAACAGAAGTAGCAGAAGTAAATACGTGCAATCTACCCCCACATTTTTTTTTGTATTTGAGTTATCCAATCTTTTCTAATGCTTCAAATTTCAGCATGTCAAATGTAAAATGCTGTTCAAAAAAATAATTAAAGCGCACACTATCACATATATCCTTTTTCTTGGGATTATTTTATAGATAAAATAAGTTTTATTGTACCAATCTACTTAAAATGTCATTGTTTCTATTAAGAATGGCATTAGGCTCTCATTTGCATACTTTCAACATAACTGGAATAGGAATAAAGACTGACATAATTATAGATACTATACTTCTATGCCATATCAACCTTAGAAAATTATCAAAGATATATTTAATCTCATTATGTCTTCAGCAGTACTCTGACTTTATTCCAATTAATTTCCAATATAAGAAGTAAAATGCTCAAAATGTAATGTAAAAGAGTCACCAGACACAATACTTAAAGAGTTAAAGTGGAATATGTCATTCTCACTAACACTTCAGAGCATGGGGTTTTTAAATGATATAACTAACCTTTGTATCCGCTGGCATAATCGAGATTCAAATTTTTGTATTAGACCACTTTGTATCCACTGCATTATTAGATTAGAGTTTACTTATAAAAATTGAAGTACAAATCTACTTGAGTTAACTGATCAATGTAATTGATATGAAGAAAGAGACCACTTGAGTGTGTCTTCTTCATCAATCCTATTGTCATGCTTGAAGAGCATGAATTTTTACGGATCGAAATACTCCGTATTAAATTAGAGCATCGATTCCATATCAATGAACTGTGATGCAGCAACCACAACCCACTTTAATATGAAATTTCACGTAAATGAGCTTTTTACTACACAAAGGAGAGACAGTAGTCCCCATTCCAAGCAGATTTAAATCAATTAGGTTTTGATTGGTTTTTCCCAAGAAATCAAGTTTTGTCATACAGAAGATTTAAAAGGTATATACTTGGTGATGTGAGTGGGTGAAATCTGGATTAACTACAAAACCAAAATGGAATCCAATTTTCCAAAATAATTATATAATTCATGGAAATAATTCTGATCTTGAGGTAGGCAGTGGATTGCAGAGAAGAGCACGGGACAAAGGCAGTGGTGATTGTGGTGTTTGATGCTATATAGAAATCAAGAAAATGCAATTTTCGGAAATTGGTGGAGGAAACCGTAAATTGGAAAACGGGCAAACGCTGGTGAGGATGAAGACCGACCTTAACCAAGAGAAGAGAATCGATGGGGAAGAAAGCCAAGGGATGGAAATGACCTGGAGATGATGAAGAGAAGAGAATCGATGGGAATGAAGTCTATAAGGGATGGAGCTTTACCATACGGGGAAAAGAGAATTGAAGGGCAAGAAAGATTCTCTTATATGAAACTCCTGGCGTGAGGCTGGACAGATTCGATGGGAGAATCAAATCAACGAACATGTTTGGACTGCATGATCTTTGAGCATTCAATTTCTGGATTTCCCGGATATAAGCAATATGCAAGGGCAGTGGGGTAAGGCAACATCAAGGTCGCTTCCTGGATCTAAGCGAGAATCAATTAAATTACAGACAACGAGAAATCTGCAGATTTTAAGCTAGAAACAGATTGAAAAGCTTAAATGACATATAAGAGAGAGAAGCGGGAAGTTGGGATTTTGCTTTTAGGTATAATAATATAAATAATATAGGATAATATAATAAAATTAGAAAATAATTAATGTCACCATTGTCTATTGGTTTATTGGCTATTACATACTAATTGCTTGTGTCACTACCTCCGCCGCTAGTGTTATAGCCGTCGTGAAATATATGTGACCATTAGAAAATATTTTAGAGGAGTTTACAAAAAAAGATGAAAAACCATCAATTTATTTTTCCAGCGCCAGGTGACTGCAATGGTTCGAGAAGCGGTGTTTGACGGAGGTGATAGTTAAGCATTGGATGGGCAGTTGGATAGCAATTAAAATTAGAGAAATTTAAATTAATTATACAAAGGTAGTTACAAATTTTTAAAAAACTAGTCAAAATTTAGTCTTTCAAAACTATGGAGGTAAATTTATGTCATTTTTTCAAATTTTAAAATAGACTGTCAGTTTTCACGCTCCATATCAAATTATAAGTGTTTAATTTATGCTTTACAAAGATTATCAAAAACTATTTTATTAATACTAGGTGTGAAACTTACAAACAATAGAGAATATTTCAATGCTTCATTCTTGAACTTGACAAAATCCTACACATACTATGAGCACCATATATCGATCTCCAGCAGAAGCAATATACTCAAATAGACAAAGACAATCAGTCAACCATTAAAACAATAGTAGAAACACTTTAATCATCACTCCTCTATTTCATCCTTAAAATGGCTTGATTTCTCTGTGCTTGAATGTCCACTCATTTGGAGCCCTGCAATGTAAACTTAATTGGTATTGTACCCTCGAAGCATATGACAGCATGACTTTGAAGTGTCCACTCCATGCCTATCCAAATAAGAGAGTATTAAAATAATGTTATAATTTATCATGCCCCGCAAGTGAGGGAGTCCAGGAAGGATCCCAAGCTTGGACCGATGAGAGAGAAACTAATCCTTGCAATGGCTTTTGTGAGTGTATCAGCTAATTGATCATGAGTGTATCAACTTGTTCACGAACAAAATGAAAATCAATGGCAATATGTTTCATGCGTGAGTGGAATAGGCACATACATAGGTGGCACTAACATTGTCACATAGATGTGTTGGAATGTCACGAAGAGATAGATGGAGCTCGCGGAGAAGATTAACAAGCAAAAGTAGTTCGGATGTAGTAGAGGCTATGGCACGGTATTCGGCTTCGGTGGAGGAGCGGGCAACCGTACTTTGCTTTTTAGAACTCCAACTAATCGGGTTACGGCGCCAGCCCAATCAGGAAGGCGTGAAGTTTAAGAGGGGGTATGAGCGAGAGGAAAATACCATAATGAGTGGTTCCACGCAAGTATGGAAATACCCCAGCTTGCCCATGTTTGGAGGTAGGGCAGTGCATAAATTGGGCGAGTTTGTTGACTATGAAACTGATGAGCATAACGTGGGGAATCATAGTTACATGGAGATGAGCTAGTGGGGGGAAATTATTGAGAGTAGTCATCATTTATGGTAGTGGCATGTGGAGATGTAGTATGACTAGGAGGGAAAGAGATAGGGACCTAAGTGGCAGGGGGGAGGTGGGTTATTCGAGGAGATAGGAGGTGAGTCAGATGGGTCGGGTCCGGGTCGGAACGTAGTGTTCCAGACTCGGACCCACTAAATTAATAATGGATATGGACCCGATCCGTTTACCCGGCGGCTCTGAAAATTTGGACCCAGATCCGGATCCAACGGGTCTCGAAATCTGGTCGGGTAGACCCGCCCGCTAAGTATGATACGAACACCATTATAAACTTTCTGAAAATATCAAGAAATATATGTAAAATATAGCTTCACACTTCGCGTCGCTTTCTCTCGCACAAAAAACTCGTAGAATAAACTAGAAATTATTTAAAGTGTACACATACAGTGATTAGTATACATACACTCGTAAATAAAAATTTTGAGAGTAGTATGATTTGGCGGCTCATGAAATAACATAGAATAAGGTGTGGTATTATTTAAGTTTGGAGTAGGGAGGGGATTTATGAGATATGTGGCATACTGAAATGCATATGGCCAAAAATGTAAGGGCAAAGAGGCTTGGAATAATAGGGCAAGGGCAATTTCAATAATGTGTCTGTTTTTTCGTTCGGCAGAACCGACATGTTCAGGGGTGTATGGCGTTATATGTTGAATATTGTGCTTAGCAAGTTGAGGTGCTAGAGAGGTAAATTCACCGCCGCCATCATTATAAAGGGTTTTTATTTTAGTACGTCATCATCATAATCATCATAATCATTACCCCAGTGCCGCAAAGGCTCCCACCTACGATGGGGTAAGGAGGGGGTCGGATGTACGCAGTCTTACCCTTGTACTAAAACACATAGAGACTGTTTCCTAATGACCCATAGTGAAAACCGCGTCGAAAAATACATGGATTGACTGTTGCTTCATAATAAAGAAGTGCAGATAGTTTAGTGAGCCATTTTGCTTTATTCCATCATATTCTCAAGCCAAAAAAATAGTTAATCTTGGGCTCCATTGCAAATGATGGAAATAATTTGGTGAACACAGGTGATACATCAGATTTATGTTTTAGGGGAAACAACCAAGTATATTTGGTATATATAGTAATCCACAAAGATAACATAAAAACGAGTATTATTGACTGTTGAAATTGGAGATGGACCCCATACATCTGAATAAATTAATTCAAATGCACGAGTACAATTTATTGAAGAATTATGAAAAGGAAGTTTATGACTTTTAGCTCTATAACAAGCATCACAAGGAGAAACTTTAGAGTGACTGGATTTTATTTGGCGTTGTGTAGATAAAGAGGGATGACCAAGGCGTTCGTGCCAAAGTTGAGAGGTGGCGGTGAAGGTCTGGGGTGATGGACTTGACCACATGTAGAGATTTTGATTACTCTGGCCGCGTGCCAAGGATGCCCCTGTGGCTAGGTCCTTCACAACAACAAAATTAGGTGAGAACTCAATGGAGGCATTATTTTGTATGCAGAATTGGTTGACAGAGATAAGATTGTGGCAAATATGAGGAGCACAAAGAACATTATTGATTGTAAATTTTGAACCGGGAGAAGAAACACAAAATGTACCAATAAGTTATCATGATCTATGGTGCTTCCCAAGGGAAATGATCTTTGCTGGTTCTCATGCAACTGGGAGATTCAATAAAAAAATGACAGAATTTTCACTTGGCTAGGCATGGAGTGGACACTTCAAAGTCATGCTGTCATATGCTTCGAGGGTACAATACCAATTAAGTTTACATTGCAGGGCTCCAAATGAGTGGACATTCAATATGTTCCTTTCAAACTGAGTGAGTTCTTCTTGCATTGCATTGATTCAATCTGTGTCTGCAAGAGCTTCTTCTACTGTCATAGGTTCCATCTGAGATATGTAGTAGGCAAGCATTGCTTCTCTTCTGGTTGTAGCAGATCTGGTTTGTACTCCGCTTCTGATCTGTCCAATCACCTAGTTTGGGGGATGATCCCTTAACCAAGTTAGGTCAGGTTCTGATAAGTGTTGTCTTGGTCTCTCTTGCTCTTCTTCAGGTTCTTCATCACTATCCTTGTCTTGTAGAATGGGATTCTGAAGATGGATTGGTACGACAGAGTTGATGACCACTTCTGATGTTGTCACTTCTGGTGACTCTTCTAGATTCGTTTTCTCCAAGTTCTCTGTTATGTTCTCAACAGAGTTGAGATCATCAAACTTGACATGAATCGATTCTTCAACAAGTAGGGTTCTTTTGTTGAGTATTCTGTAGGCTTTGCTTGTGCTTGAGTAGCCTAAGAATATTCCTTCATTAGCTTTTTCTTGGAACACTTTGAGATGTTCCTTTCCATTATTGAGTATATAGCATTTGCCTCCAAATGCATGAAAGTAGCTGATGTTGGGTTTCCTTCCCTTCCAGAGCTCATAGGGGGTCTTCTGATGAGTTTTGTGAATCATGCTCCGGTTCTGGGTGTAGCATGCAGTGTTGATAGCTTCAGCCCAGTATCTGTGAGGTAGACCAGATTCAGCAATCATGGTCCTTGCAGCTTCCTTGAGTGTTCTATTTCTTCTTTCTGCAACTCTATTCTGTTGTGGAGTTCTGGCTGCAGAGAGTTGATGCATTGTTCCATTTTGGTCACAGAACTCTTGTATGACCTTGTTGACGAACTCTGTTCCTCTATCTGATCTGATAGATTTCACTTTCTGATTCTGCTCATTCTGTAGTAGTTTCAGCAGAGATGGTAGTTTCTGCAGAGTTTCATTTTTCTTCTTCAGAAAGATTGTCCAAGTGTATCTTGAATAGTCATCCACCATGACTAAAGTATATCTTTTTCCACCAACACTTTGAGTTTCCACTGGTCCAAATAAATCCATGTGGATCAGATTTAAAGGACTAGTAGAGAGGTCTCTAGCAATGGGTTTGAAGGAGTTCTTCACTTGCTTTCCTTTCTGGCATGCACTGCACAGGCTCTCCTTCTTGTACACAATGTTAGGTATGCCATCAACAATGTGATCCCTTGCTACTTTGTTGATTGTTTTGAAATTCAAGTGACTCAGCTTCTTGTGTCATTCCCAGCTGAGTTTTGAATCTCCTTTAGCTAATAGGCAGATTCCTCCCTTTGCAGTAGACCAATCAACAACATAAATGTTTCTTTTCCTGGTAGCTGTCAGAACCACTTCCATAGTTGTCTCATGCTTGACAGAACAACCTTCTTTGGAGAATTCAACTGTGTAGCCTTTATCACAGAATTGGCTAGCACTCAACAGGTTGAATTTCAGGCCTTTGACATAAAAGACATCTTCAATGATTATCTGGTTTTTGATCAACTTCCTTCTTCCTTTAGTTTGGCCATCTTTGTCATTACAACCAAAGGTAACTCTGGGCCCTTTGATTCTCTGGAACTCTGTAAGGCAACTCTTGTCACCTGTCATGTGCCTGGAGCATCCACTATCAATGTACCAATCTAGCTCAGAGATAGCTCCAGCACACAGTTCCTACAACAATTAAAAGGAAGATTTAGGTACCCAAGCAATGTTGGGTCCTAGGGGGTCATGCAGTCTTGGCAGCCGGTACCACTTTGGTCTCATCAAGTGAAACCTTGGTGGGTGGTACCCATTGTCCACCTGGTAGTCATAGTAAACGGAAGTGTGATTCACTTTGGGCAGATGCTTGTGAGGATCATGCTTCCGGTTTACATACTTCTGCATAGCCTTTTTTGTTGGGTAGAAGTCCCATATACTATCAAGAGCCTAGGAACGGTTAGCTTTGGGCTTCTTAAGTTGACCAGCCAACCTTTTCTGCCTAAAGTTAACCTTCTCTTGATATTTGCCTTTCCGGTGATCATTTCTGGTGGGGTAGTCATGAGAATGTCTGGTCAAGTTCTGTTGTTGTTTTCTGTAATTTTGAACACCTTTTCTGTTGTTAGGTTTTCTGTCAGGTTCATTATTTTTCAAAACTTGTTTTGGTTGAACCTTTATCTTTTCCTTTTCTGGTCTGACCTTCTCATGAACAATCCGACATTTTTATTGGTTGAACCTTTATCTTTTCCTTTTACTAGATACACTAGCTTGGCAAATGGGGCTAGAAATCAGTGGCACTATGACCTTGTCTGCTTTAACAACTCTGGTGCTAGGCATTATGGAAGACTCACCTGATTCTGTTGAGTTATACCCAATACCAAAATCAGTGCCAATTTGTTGATCAAGTACAAACCTTTCCATTGAGGCCTGATGTAACACCCCCAAATTTCCCACCCAAAAATACATTTAAATAATGATTTATTCAAAGGAATTATCAACTTTATTTGAAAACATCAGAGATACAGCGGAAGTCTTAATAGGGAAATGGATGTTACCGCCACATCCGGTCATCTCTGATGTTTTCAAATAAAGTTGATAATTCCTTTGAATAAATCATTATTTAAATGTATTTTTGGGTGGGAAATTTGGGGGTGTTACAAATTGGTATCAGAGCAAGTTTTCGAAAGGGACTTTTCAAAATCTTTTTCTAAATGTTTTCTACATTTAAAAAAAACTTGGAAATAGTTAAGATATTTTAGGACGTGGTGAGGATGGTGAGATTGCATAATATTGTTACATGTCGGATTTCTTGGAAAGTGATATGGATTTGAATTCCTTGAGACTTATTTGTGTGGTACGTGACCTTTTAATATGCTTATATGTGATAGAGTTTAGATATGAACATAGTGAAGACTTATATGCTTAAGATAGTAGAAGTTAACTGGTCAACATAGTGAAAGTCTTATGGTCAAATTTTGGACCAAAGATGCTACTAGAAACCAAGAATGTTATGCGCAAGTACTATATGGAGTTATTGAATTAAGTAGTATTTTAGTTACAGGGACGTAACCTCTCTTTAAAGAGGGTAGAATGTAATACTTTAGAATTTTGACATTTGACTTTAGTTTATGTTTCGGGACGAAACATCTTTTAAGGAGGGTAGAATGTGACACTCC